GAGGGCCTAGACTGCGTCGGAGGGAAGATCCGGGTGGTTGAAGTAACTGTGGTCTGAGCAGTCGCGGTCACGGTTTCGTCTTCAGAGGTTGTCTTGTCAACTGCGGTAGTGGTTTCTTCTTCAGAAGTGGTCTTGGTAGTAGTGGTGATTGTGCTGGGTCTTGAGGGCCTAGACTGCGTCGGAGGGAAGATGCGGGTGGTCGAAGTAACTGTAGTCTGATCCTTCGCGGTCACGGTTTCGTCTTCGGAGGTAGTCCGGCCAACAGCGGTGGTTGTGCTCTCGCTTTCAGAGGTGTCGCTTTCAGAAGTGGACTTATCAACTGCGGTGGTTTCCTCTTCAGAAGTGGTCTTGGAGGTGGTGCTGGTAGTACTTGGTCTTGGGGGTCTGGGCTGCGTCGGATGAGTAGTCGGGACCTTGTGCGTGGTAGAACCGGACGTGAGCGTGCTATCTTCCGAATGGGTCTGAACAGTGGTAGTGAATTCGGTGCTGTCCTCGGAAGTGGTTTCAGCTGCAGTATCACTCGTGCCTTCAGCAGTCGTGGTGGTGGTGGTCTCCTCTTCAGAGGTCTTGGTGGTGGTAGTGGTAGTACTGGGTCTTGACGGCCTAGACTGTGTCGGAGGGAGGATGCGGGTGGTCGAAGTAACTGTAGTCTGATCCGTAGCGGTCGTGGTTTCGTCTTCAGAGGTAGTCTGGTCAACAGCGGCGGTAGTGGTAGTAATGGTGGTGGTAGTACTGGGTCTTGGGGGTCGGGGCTGCGTCGGATGAGTAGTCGGGATCTTATGCGTGGTAGAACCGGAAGTGAGCGTGCTATCTTCCGAATGAGTCTGAACAGTGGTAGTGAATTCGGTGCTGTCCTCAGAAGTGGTTTCAGCTGCAGTAACACTCGTGTCGTCGGTACTGGCGGTGGTGCTGGTAGTACTGGGTCTTGGGGGTCTGGGCTGCGTCGGATGAGTAGTCGGCACCTTATGGGTAGTGGAAGCCAAAGTTCCCTCGGTCGTGGTCACGCCAGCAGCGGTAGTACCCTCAGTCGTAGCAGCAGTACCCTCGGTCATGGTCACACCAGTAGCGGTAGTACCCTCAGTCGTAGCAGTAGTACCCTCAGTCGTAGCAGTAGTACCCTCAGTC